CCCTAAAAAAAAAAAAAAAAAGTAACCCATTACTTCTGAACATTCTAGTTTTCTAGTTATGTACCAGTGATACAAGTTTATAAAGGGGTGGAAAAAGTAAAGATGGATTTCAGCATTTACTTCTAAAAAACTAATTTCAGCCAGCAACATAGAGATACTAGTTATCTCTACCAAAGCTGTGATATTTCTCGTTTAAATCTAAGTATTCTAAGAACAAAAAAAGATTACTCTTTTTTTTTTTCCTGTTGATGTCCTTGTTCAAGGTACCATTTTCAGTTTCCATAATAAATATTTTTAAATACAGCAGTAAGAGCATTGGTAGTTATACTGTCTTTGTGAAAAATGCTCTAATAATTTAATCTCTTCATAAACACTTCGTATAGTGTGTGCAATTAAGACATAAGGGACTGACTCCCCCCCCTTGCCCCCAAGTGGTAACAGTGTACTCCAGTCATTTAGTTGTGTTACTTGAGTTACATTGCTACATGCTTTGGGTTCCTACCACGTGTATGAATATTAAGAATTGGTGTCTTGCCACTCTGTACACCAAGCATGCTTCACCTTTACGTTAGAGGAGTTGGGTGCAGAACTTCATTTTAAAGAAATCATTGTCCTTGTGCAGAAACTCCCTTGGTCTTGACTATCATGCAAGGGCCCAGCTGTAAGAAGTCCAGTTACTGTAATAGAAAAATTCATGTGTTGTATTTCCTATTCTGATGTAGGTTTCATGTACAGTCATTCCTAAATGCAGAAAAAGAGTTCACCTGAATGTGATGTACTACATACAACTGACTGTACTGTTCAGTAGATAGTGCCTGCCAGCTCTCTGCTTTAGCTCATCAAAGATACAAACGTGTATTTAAATTTGTAGTACTGTATATTCTAGATAGAGTTGAGGCTGGTTGCAAGAGGGTGGGGTAAGACAAAACCAGGCTGCAAGAACATGTGCTGAGATGATGAGAGGTCAGAAACGCCCCTGCTGGCCCCGCCAGGGGCACCTCTGGGCATTGCCTTTGGGATGCCAGGAGGAGGGGCACTTCTCTGGCCAGCTGCTTCATCCAGTAACAGAGATGAGAATGCTGCTTTATCGTAACTGATACCATACTCCAAACCTCCCCCAATTCTTTCCATATTTTAACTTACCTCCATTTTATTCGTGTTGAAATTCTTCACTACTCAAGATAGTAAAACCCCAATGACAAACATACTTTAAAGAGCCTGCAGTCAGATCTCTCCAAACGCAGTACAGAAGGCCCTTATCTTCCACTAATATTTACAATTGGAACAAAATTACTATTTTATTAAGATTATACCTTCGTATCATGATGTTACCCCTGATTTTAGTGAAAATTGTATTTAACGGAAACAAACTTATCCTTGCTATAGAGTGGATACCTGTAAGTGTGAAGGCCTTTTGTGAGATGTCTCTCAGCTACAGCATAACTTGTACAGAAAAGACATACGAAGCTTAATGCTAAATTAGACTTCTGATGTGAGCATCACTGTAATTTTTTTCCTTGAACAGTAACAGTAGCTGATTATATATCACGAGCTGAATCTCAAAGTAGACAGAGAAACCCTCCAAAGGAGACACTAGCCAAAACCAAGAAAGAAACGGTAAGAACAATTTTAATGTATGTTTCCTTTTTTCTCTTTGCTTGCAGCAGAATACTAAAGGATGCTTCATTTAGATTGCCCTCACTTGACTACAAATGCATTTGACTTCAAGAATAAATTAAAAGCAAGAACAGCCCTGAGTAAACAGAACTGACACTGATTTGCCGACTCAGTGACTAGTGTAATGCTCAAAATAAGGCTTTACACGTTTTAAAATGCTACGCTTACTAATGTAGCATTACATAGTAAAATGTGAAAGTTTTCCATGGATGAGTCTTGAGAACTAATCCTTACAACACTTTCTGGAGGATACTAGGTAGCATGTTTAGTGACTTGTACAAACTATTTTAGAAAGAATTGATGTTACAAAGCTTGTAGATTTGAGATCTGTTCTTAAAGGATCAGAATGGCATTATGTATCAAAAAATAATACTTAGAACAGAATAAAGCAGAGTTTCTTTACTTCTAAGGTAACACTGAGCTTCCTGCCACAAGTTACATCCCGAGTTTAGCAAAATAAGAAAGACCCGTTGCTGAATGCTTAACATACATCTAATCAGACTGTAGACTTTGAAAGGGGTGTAAAACTCAACTTTTCAGTCACCTTCTTCATTGGCCTAGACAAACTGAAATTGTGAAATAAAACCTTCTGGGGGTGCTGGGGGCATGCTGTCTTGGGGGTTACCTTGGCAGGATTTCCCCAGAAATGTCTGATACAGAAGTACCCTATAAATGACAGAGTCGGAGGATGCTGTCACTGGCAGGGTACTGGCACAGACAGCCCGGGTGTTTCCTATTGCCAAGTTGCTGTGGGAGCCAGAGGGCAATTTAGATTACACTCCTATTTTTACATAATTCTTAATATTACCCTGGTTTTGCTTCTGTAGACAAAAGATCCGATTGATGAAAACAGCCCTTCTGAAAAAGCAGTGAACGGCCCTGCTACAACTTCTGGGGATGAGCCTTCTAAACTACAGCACAGTCCTGATGAAAAGAAAGTTACTGTTCAAGAGGATGGAAATAATCAGGAAGAAGCAGTGCTGAATGGTGTTTCATAAACTGAAGTTCCTAGTTTACAGTTCTTCTACATTACATTTAAAATAGTGCTTGTATAAGCTTGCCAAAGATAGAATATGGATCGCCAGTCTTGACACCGCACTTTCAGTTCCTCCATTTTGGAATACAGAAAGGGGAGGGATCCTGAAGAAATCATATGTTAAACATACTTTGACACCTACTGTGTTATAAATATATCATCAGATGTGCCTTGAGATAGTATATGTAACATTTAAATAAACAAAATTGCTGGCTATAGGAAATGTTATTTTGTTTTCAAAATATGGCAAAGATGTGAGGGGGATCCCTAACATAATACTCTTTATGAAAGCATTAGCTGCTTTTGTTACATTTTTAATAATATGCAACCACTTCTTCACCTGAGGAATACTAGAAAGAAATGCAGTCTAAAATATTTTGCACTGAAATGTAATTTCTCCATTAGTTTAGTCTGGAAACTGGTCTGTTTTAATACATGTTTTTTAAATGCTGTATGTAGAGGAAAATCTGCAGACCACTGGAATACATTTGTTAAATTCTCATAATCTGCAGGGATACTGGGTGACATTGGCAGTGACTGTTCTACATTGAGGCTTTGTTTGGTTTATTTATTAAACTGTACAGTATTTAAAAATCAAACATAGCTTTAGTTAACACTAAGCTGAATTAGTCATGTCCATTAAGACATAACCTGAACTACTGAAAAGATCAATTTCCAGAAAGTTTATTCTGTATAAACTACATATGTTAGTCCTTAGTAGAGTATTTTTATTTTTGTTTTGGTTGTTTGATGTGCAATATGTTTTTTTTGTATGCTGGTAGTAAAAGAAAATAAACTTTGATCTTCCATCTGTTGACTGTTTCTATCAGAAATTTAAATTACTATTGACTTCAAGGTTTTCAAGCTCTTAACTAACAATTGAAACTTGTTTGTGAGGCAGCTTGAACCTTTAATTAACTCTCTTATGAATAAGAGTTTTCTAATATCTAATAATCTTCCAGTCTTCAAGGAGATGATGTAAAATATCAGTTTACAAAACTAAAATCAGACTTCTTACCTTGGAGAATACCATACCCTGACTAACATATATAGGAATTAATGCAGATGTCATTTTTGATTGAGAAGTTAGATGCATGACACACTAACCCATCTTTTCAGGTACACGAGCAAGAGCGGTGAACCAGGACAGACAGATGTGGAGAACGTTTGGGTAGCAAGGAACTGGTGTAGGAAGTCAGAGCAAGCTGGTAGTGCTGAAGTTGTGCTGACTTTGAAAAAAAAAAAAAAAAAAACCACAACCAACTTGTCTTGCCTGATTTTGTCAGGAGTAAGGACGGAAGTGTTGGGAACCACCTGTGACTCCAGCTGCTGTACCTGACAGAGCTACGGCAGAGCTGTACCACCTGGAGCTGGGTATGTATTGCACTGAAGGAGAACACCCAGTACAACTGCAACTGCAGTGTGCACAAACATCTCAGCAGGTGAGGCAGCTGCAAGAGCCGAGAAAATTTTAAAAGCGGGGAAGGAAAAAAAGAGCTGTGTTTAAAAAGTATCATTTGGCAGGGAAAAATTTAAGTACAGCAACATTCCACACAGAGCTTGAACTATGCACACTCTGGAACTGCTGCATGGCAATGGTCCAGCTGCTTTTTTCACTCCACTTTCACAGCTGTAGTAAAGCAGCATTAGCCCTCTCTCTAGGTTCTAAATGTTTCCCCTTTCACACTCCCCTTACTGATTTGCTCCTCTCTTCTAAAGGCGTGGAACTCTTCCCCACTGGTGCTCTGGGGATCCTTACTCAGTGGCCTCGAAGCAGCCTACAGCAACAGGCCCAGGTTCACACAGGGGCTGTAAGACTGCTTCCAGGAGTACTGACACACAGACGGGTTATTTCTGGAAAAAATGAAAGCTCTGAAATCCATTGTATTTATGAAGAGAGGGGTGGTAACTCTCACCCTCTACAGCAGTTTTACTGTAGGACAAGGACAGAAATCTTTGGCACCGATTCTGACACTTACCTGACAGCTCCTGGGCTGTGTTAGGCTTCAGGCAGCACCGTAAACCCAGCTCTGGTCTGTGTGGTCTATGTAAAGAATTCCTGTTTCCTAATTACTATAAATGCAAACCTTATTACAGGAGTTCTAACTTTGTAGTGTAAGATAATGTATAAAGCTACAGTACTTATATTACATATTTGAAATTTATTACATGCTACAAAATCCATTAAAAACTAAAAGTTGCTACAAAATCTGGGACATTACAGACCCATCAGTAACATTTAAGCAGCTCAACCAACCTTGGTTTTCACAAGGCAAAGACAACCGTGTACATTGTTTCCTGTATTTTATTTCTTCAGTCAGAGACAACTACACATCTGTCCCAATTCTTCTCATCAATTAAATCCTCTTAATTTTTTCCACCCCCTCCCCATACCGGTTCAGCACGCCAACTTTGGCATATGAAAGAACAGCAGCATGAACTTTAAACATAGCTATGTTTAAACAAAAGATAGGTAACAGCATGTAAGTCTATCTGTATCTGGTAACACCTTGGCCAAACCAAGTTACTCTCTTGCATGGAAAATACTTCTGAGTGGCAGATTTTGCTGCTTAATGAAGAACAGCTGTGGAAAAAAATTTTAAGCTTTGCTCCCTCACACATTTCCACAAAAAGTGACTAAGAAATGAGTGGGGAGGGAAGTACCTCCCTGGATTTGTATTTCCAGCTTCATTTATATTAAGCCAAAGACTGATACCAGAACTTTCCTTAAGCCATTTATCAAAAATAATCGTTTGCATGGACAAACCCTCTGATTTTCTCTCCCATTCATTTCTTAGCTTGATCTTCCAGTAAATCCTTAGCTTCATTGATTTTGGCTGCTACATATGGAGAGCCACCTAGAAGAAAGATAACCTCGTGTCACATCAGAAGAAAGTATTTTCCTTCTGTGTTAAGAATGCCACAGCACACAGGAAAAAAAGGGAGAGTATGGTCTGAAAGTTACTCGAGTCAAAGAACAAACTGCATTATGACTGAAGCCGTGCAAGTTTACACATCCAGTCACTGCAGTAGATAAACGTGCAGACATCTCATTGCTGTTAGGTTGCTTTTAGTTTACTGGAGTGGGCTTTTCCTCCAGTTTTTCTCCCATCATAAATGAATTGGTCACTAATGACTTAGCATAAAGTTTGTTGTGAATACAGAAGCATTAAACTAACAACAAGTCTGCAGGTAAACCTTTCCCCCCTAGCTCAAGGCCAACACAGGAACTGCTGCTGCTGCACCAAAAAACTAATCCAGTTTTTAAACGTGACATACAAATGATTTGCCAAGATACTGAAATAGACTCTGCAACACAAATGCACTGAATTTGTCACTGTGAGGTGCAAAGATGTGTAGCATGTATAGCATTTACTAGCACTAGAATCACTCTACTAAAGCTTAATTTAACTTATTAGGTCAGGTAAAATGTGAAATGCTCCTAGCAGCTTTTGGATAGCTATTTTTAGGTTCTGCATATATTCAATAAAGTTAAATTTGAAGTTACCTTCTGCTGGATATTATCTAGGAAAGGCACATCCCAAGGATGATTTTGGTATATTAAAGTCATTAAGTTCAACAGTCACTTTAAAGGAAGCCATTTTACCTTTTAAGTGAGGATTAACAAGTTAAATGCCAAGCACTAACACATGATTTTGCCTCACAGAAGTAAACAGAATTTAGAACAGGTATAGATGCCTCAAGTTATTAACTTAAAGCACAGCTAGATTCTGAGCCTTCAGAGTTGCACAAACAGGAATATTTCATAGTTTAGTGTCAACAGATGCAGAAGGCTTAATACTTAATATTTATGGTGAATTCCCAATGCATTCAAATCAACTCAAACTCATGTGGTACATAAAGGGCACAAATATACTCTGGGCTTTCATTTAAGGCAATTTTGAGTCTCATTTTAACAGATCTTATTTTAATCTGATATGCACAGAAGATAGAGCAAGTAACAAGCTGACCCGATGAGTCTGCCTGCTTGCTTTAGAGCACTCAAACACAAAAATAAGCCCTAAAACTATAAGGATGAAGGCACCCTAAAATTTGTTTGCAGTTTTCTGGGGTTTTTCTAGTAGCTGAGGTAGTCACATGTCAGTCAATTCTTCCCTGCACAGTTCTATTAATCTGTGTTAAAAACATGTATTAATTCATCAATGTGACTTAATTTACTTACCTTTATCTGGATGATTCAGAAGCATGATCCGTCTATGAGCTTCTCTAATTTTACTTCTGTTGGCTGTAGGGCTTTAAAAGAGAGAGAAAAACTGACTTAAGGGAACCTCATAAAATCCTCCAGATCTTTAAAAGATGTCTTGGAGCAAGCAAGCACACCATCTTATCCGTTCAACTCTTTAGCTTACATGTATGTTTTTCTTTTCCTATTATTGATATGTAGCATTTAAGTCCTGGAGAGGGTTTCCAAGGTTTCTCCAGAACACTGTATGCTGAAGAAGACATACTAGAGCAGCCTAATATGGTGGGGATCATTCACACAGTTGAAAAAAACAGAACTATGTTCTAACATTTTTATTGGGACAACTTCCTCAAGGCTAGAAGAAAAAAATAAAATTTGCTCTTGATTTATTTAAAAACCAAACAACTGTATATAAACTTCACAGTTGGAAATTGCATTCAAGCAACAATGGTTCTTATTCTGTATCTTATTAGATAATTTGTGTACTTGGTCTGAAGTCTAAGTTTTGGCAGGGATAGCTACCATACTCATATCTCAGATATTTTTCAAGTGGTGAAATTACTCCCCTTGCAAGAAGTGGGTCTGCAGCAGCTTCACCCTGCATCTATCTGAAATTCACCGGCAGCAACAGGAATCACAAACAAACACTACAACTGTGTCCCCTCACAGAGTGAAGCCCAAGGCTTCCTGAAAATGGCCCATTTACCTGGAGCTGTACGTGGCTTTTGAACGCGCTAGGGGTTTGCAGAGGTATGGAAGTCCAGCTAGTGTCAGCTTTAAGCAAGCGAACATGCAGCAAAGAATCCCAAATAAGCACAGAAAATCCTGAAAGGTCACCTCCTATTTCCTGACCTGGCAGTGACATTCCCAGGGGAAGCTGAGCCCAGGACAGGACAGTCTTAAGCACTGAGTATTACTTTTCTAATAAAAAGAAACATGAATATGAAAAACCTTTTCAAACCAGGCCAGCAACTAGGTAACACCATAGCTTCCTTTTTACCTTTCATTTCTAATAAATTTCCTTTTACCTCACTCCTAGTATTAAGGCTGCTTCTCGTTTAGTCATTTTGGGTTCAAATCCACCTCTGTAATAACCACTGAAGGCCTGAAAGAGAAAATGTGTTAGTGTAAAAATTACTTTAACTTTACCTGTTAAAACAACTAATTATTGCGTTAGTAGCTGCTGAGCTTCTAGTGTGTAAGAATACTGCGAAGCTTCTTTTGCACTTGTAATAAGAAATTCAGTTGAAGTAGAGCATCATTATTTAAATGAGCGTTTAACTTGTCAAAACAAGTTATTAGTCAACAAACGCCAAAATTTCTGAGCTTAATTCTATTACTGACAAAATTGTATTTAGTATCAGAAAAAAAAAAAACATTAGTGCTATATGGAGACAAGTGTGTAGTTATTTCACCAAGTAAACTTTTAAAGAAGAAGATGCCACTTATAAAACTTACAGGTTTTGGTAGATTCTGAAGCGCCTGTTTTACTTGTGGCTCCATTTGCTTCATAGCTCTAAGTGCATAGCGACCTTAGAGAAATCAGTGATTGAACAAGGCTAAGTATAAAGTTTTATAAAGATTTAGCAATTCAGTGCAACTAGTAACTTGAGGAATAAACTTCCTGGGGACATAAAAAAAGCAAGAACTTTGATCTTTTGTTTAATTACAGCCACGTTTCTCAACTCAGGCTCTCCAAAAGCGTGTCCCGCATCAGTTCTTAAACCACCTGAAGCGCCTCAGTACTGATGCGGGCAACGAGGTACAGCTGGGTGCTCGGTGCCCTCCCGCCCTCTACAAACCTGCGAATCCAGCTGCCGCTATGGTCAGGCCAACCGCCACCATGGTACTGGCCTACACGGGGAAGACACAAAGGATCTGTTTACCAGAGGAAAAGAAAAAGGGCCCGCCCGGCCATCTCCACAGCGGGTCGGACCTGCGTGTGACTGGGGGGATCGCGGCCGCGCCGGGGCCCAGCGGGGCTGGGCAGCGCGGGACCCCGGGCTGCGGGGGAGCCCCGGCCGCGGCGGCACCGGGCCCGAGGCGGCGGCCAACGGCCCCGCCGCGGCCTGCGCGGGGCAGCGCGGGCCGCTCGGCCCCGGGGAAGGGCTGGAGGAGCGGCTGGCCCGGCTGCCAGCGGCCCTGCGGCCGGGCCCCCCGAGCGCACTCACCATGGCCGCGCCCCCGCGCCGGCGGTCACCGGGCCGAGCTGGCGCAGGGAGCCGGCTCGCCCTACGGCACCCGGGGACCGGCCGCAACGGCGCCACCGGCTGTCGTAAAGCGGGGCGGGGCGGGAGGGGAGGGAGCGGCGGACACCGCCCCGGGGAGCGGGGAACAGAAAATGCCGCCTGGGCCGGGGGCTGGGGGGAGGCGGGGCGGGAGAGCCCGGGGCCGGGCGGGCGGCTGGCAGAGGCGAGCCCCGCGGAGCCCCGCCTGCGCGCTCGGGCGGCTGCGGCGGTGGGAAAACGGTGGTGCGGAGCCTCTTCGTGATGAGCGGGTTTGTTCCGCGAGTAGGGCTATCTCGCACACCAGATGCGTTTGTTAGAAAAGGTCGTTTTTCTTCCCGGTTTTCTGGTCTTTTTTTTTTTTTCTCCTTCGAGTAATTCGCTCGCCGCCGAGCCCGGCCGTGGCCTTCCTGCCGCGCTGGCTGCGCCGTGCCCGGCTTTGGCCCTCGTCCGGGTGGTCAAGCTCAGCAATCTGATCCGCTGAGCACTAAGATGAGGGAGAGTTACAGGCCTGGCACTATTGTTAGGACCGTAGTGGCATTAATAATATAGCGTGGTACGCAGTGCAGCAGTCCATCAGTCACAGTTCTGGAAGCTGAACAGCACGGCAGTGAGACCGTGTCAGCTGTTAGCCCGCAGGTATTGCTTCAAAATGGTCACAACGCAAAGCTCAGAGTGCCGCTGTCTTAGTTTGCAGGAGTGAAAAGCTTCAGTGTCACCCTCTGTGCTTGTAGAACGTGTCAGTGTCCTCGTGGGCTCCTGGAGAGGCTGCTGATCAAAGGCAACTAGTTTTTGGTTGCTTCAGGCCTCGGACTCAAGCCCTCACATAAACAGTTCATTACAAGCGCTGATTGTTGGATAAGCAGCTTGTAATTTTGCTGGGTCTTGCAGTGGAAGATAGAATTTTTCTGCTGTATAGTTTCTCTGAGTACTGAGTTCACTTTGAAGATCCCATAACCAGTTTGAGCCTGATTTTTTTTTTTTTTTTTTTTTTTTTTTTTTTTTTTTTCCCCACTAAAGTTTCAAGTGCCTGATTTAATGTCTGGTGAGGTAATGTTTGGATGTCGTCTCCTGCCTCTTTATCAGGGGCTGTAGTGTTATTTGGATAATGGGAAAGGAAAAAGTCCCTCCCCGCCTTTCCTGTCTCCCCTTTAAGCCCTGGGAGGCCGCTCTAAGGTCTCCCCGGAGCCTTCTCCAGGCTGAACACCCCAACTCTCTCAGCCCGGCCTCCCAGGGGAGCTGCTCCAGCCCCTTGAGCATCTTCGTGGCCTCCTCTGGCCCCGCTCGAGCAGGTCTGTGTCCTTCTGCTGTTGGGGGCCCCCGAGCTGGACCCAGCACTGCAGGGGGGTCTCATGAGAGTGGAGCAGAGGGGGAGAATCCCCTTCCTTGACCTGCTGCCCACCCTGCTCTGAATGCAGCCCAGGACACAGTTCTCTTTCTGGGCTGCAAGTGCATGTTGCTGGCTCACAGGCAGTTTTCTATCCACTACTACTCCCAAGTCCTTCTCCGCAGGGCTGCTCTCAATCAACTCCTCGCCCAGCCTGGATTTGTGTTTGGGATTGCTCCAATCCATGGGCAGGACCTCACACTTGGCCTTGTTGTATTTCCTGAGGTTGCCCAGGCCCACCTCTCCAGCCTGTCCACGTCCCTCTGGATGGCATCCCTGCCCTCCAGCGTGTCACCCCTCCACACAGCTCGGTGCTGTTGGTGAACTTGCTGAGGGTGCACTTGATCCCATGTCCATGTCTCCAACAATGATGTTAAACAGCGCTGGTCCCAATGCCAACCCCTGAGGAATGCCACTCGTCACGTTAGGAACACCGCATTATGAAATGTGCAAACTTCTACGTGGGTTGGGAACAGGTTAATAATGTACCTAATCCTTCCCCTGTGACAGCCCTTTAAAGAAAAGCCAGAAGGGAAAATCTTGGGAAGCCTCTGCTTGGTTAAAAGAGAGGTTTCGTCTTCACTGGGGAGAAAGGAAACATTTATCTGTAAGTGGGAAGGCCTGGCAAGAGTTGAGATGGGATGGAGGGATTTGCTTTATCGATAAGTGTTTGATACCAGCAACTGGACAAGACTGTTGGCTGAGCCTAGAGGTGGAATAAATATTTTTTTTTATTATATTATATAATTTATAATACAGCATTTGAAGATGAAATGCTGTAATTCCTTTAAAATATGGTGCATATATTTTTACTCTACAATACAATCCAAATTTTGTTTCTTCTCACAGTTTGTTATGCTTCCCTATCAGAGCTAAAGGAGAACTAGATGTGTCCCAGCTTAGATGTCACTGTGGGCACATGATGTTGGATGAAGAAGTCAAAGGCAGAGTTACAAAATGCCACACTTGCTAAGAGGATATTTTTGAGACTTCTAACATGTTTTGAGTACGGTCTGTTTTCAGGGGTTCTTTGAGTGCCATGTGTTTCTAGAAGGTATATATGAAATATTCTACCTTCTGCTAGCTGAAGGGAGAAACAGTTGCTTTCCCTTCCTTAGCACTGCCTTGCCTATCTCTAGAATACTTTGGTGTAGGCGATGGGTGTCAACTGTTGTATCTCTTTACTGACCACAGTACCAAAAGGCTGTCACTAAACTTCCCACATCTGCATCAAAATTAAAATAAGTTTTCTGTGCATAAATTTGCAAATAGGTGCTCTAAACTTGTCTAAATCTATTCCCTTTTCCTCTTCTGTTGCTCAGGAATGTATGCAGTGTAGAAAGGAACTGGGTGTTTAAAAGTTATGTCTTAAGTTCATGTCAGTTCACATTTCAGCATACAGAGTCGGTAAACACGTATCTGAGTAGCCTTAGTAACAAGTGCTGGAGGATCAGAGCTGTGATGTATTATTTCTGAAACTGTAAATTTTATGGATTATTACCTATATATAGGTTGTGTTCTCCAGAAACTAATCATCCAGATGCCCCTCCTGGCAAATAGTGTTTAAAGCCTTACCAATTGCTAAAAGTTGATTTTGTTCGGGTTCTGTACATAGATATTAATCTTGTGCTAGTTACAGAACAAGTACCTTCATGTTTTTTAAGCCTTGCTTCTTCAAGCTACTAGATATAGAGCTTTATGGCCAGATTGGTGGCCATATAGACACAGGGGCATAATGCTGAAATAATAGTTATAACTGCTGATTTATGAGAAGCAGGAATCGGGCATCATGAGGAATATCAAAATCAAAGAAAACCAAAAAATGCAGAAAACCTCATGGAACCAGATTTTTTTTTTTTTTTTTTTTACCACAAATAAAGATGGAAGTGATTTATTTTACCATCAGAGTTTCCATTTATTTAGAAACTGAAGTTCTTTTCAATCTGCTTGATTAGTTCATTTTATAGCACCTTAGTCCTCTGATCTTCTATCAGTCAGCTTTGTGGTGGTGTATGGAAGGTCAGCCACAAGGGAAAATTAATAAGCTCTCATGGGCTCAAGTGAAATAGATGCACTATAGATTTTATCCTTCCTGCAGAATGTCTGTTTTTGAAATCAGGAGGAAGGAAACATTATTGAGTGTTTAGGAAATATACACGCAGTTGGAGTAGAAAACCTTTTATTTTGCCTACTGTGTTTCTAAACTGCTCTCTTTCTATTTTCCAGAGAAACCTGAAGCTTTTGTAGTTTATTCTGTCAAGAGTTTTATCCTACTGCTATCTTCAGGTTTTCCACTCTGGGGTTGAAATACCTCACGATAGAAGATTACTTTTCTTTTTGAAAGCTTTATCTCACTGGACTATCCAGAGCAGCTGATGTGCAGTACATAAGCAAACTTTTCCATTAAAGCAGACCATTTTTGCAGAAATCTGGCAGTACTTTCTCTTAACTGTATCTTCCACAAACTGGACAGAAGGTGAAATAGATAGTTGTGCATTCAGAAGGTTTGGGGTGTACCTGTTAAATGCCTATATAAGGCTGTTAAGCCTTTGTTTAAGTGAAAATCACAGTTCTGGGTTGTCATATGCACAGCTGGCCAAATCCTACATTGCTTCTTCCTATAGGAGTTGCTGAACTACCAAGCTTTTAAAGGCTTGGAGACTTTCACCTTGGGGCACCAGGATACAGAATTTCTTAGGCACTTTTAAGCACATTATTTACTTATGTTTTAAGATATATATCCTAAAAATAAAGTTTAGGCAGAATATCAGGGCAAGGGGGAGGTGCTAGAGGGAGATGTCCTTAAAACTTTTTTCCTGCTTTTTGCCCATATTCCACCTTCCTTGGCTCTGCCAGTCTGCCATTTATATGTTTCATGTCTCTATTTTCATTTGTCCTTCTTGAGATTCTGCTATCTTTTCTGCATGCTCAACATCTGTACCAGAATACAATGCTGCTCTCTCTTGCCTGTGGCTACATTAGCTTGGTATATGTAGCATCACTTTGTCATTAAATTGATAATCCTAATTGTTAGAGCATAGTGTGGATGACACTATTTATAAACTGAGATTTTCTCACTTGGTATGAATGGTTTTGGATTTTTTTTAATCAAACAAAGCAAGATTTCACTGTAATTTGACACCAGGTATGAAGTGTGTATGTGTGGCAAGTAGCATATCCCTGTTCATGACAATCACAAGGAATGTCTGACTTGCACTGTAGTATTTGACTTCCTAGCTCAGTTAGAAAACAGGTAAGGCTTGGGGAAGAGGTGGAGGAGCAAGGTTTGTAGTTGTTAGTAAATTAGTCACAAAATTCCCTGAAACTGAACTAAGGAATACAGAATCTATATGTAAATATGTTTTCTCTTAGTAATTTCTAAAGTCAAGTTTGATACTTATCAACTTTTACCTGCGTTGTCCTGAGTTATGCTGCTTATTTGAAGAAAAAAGCAGTGAGATAATGCTGACATGTATTACCAGGGCTATTACGTTATTTCTGGGTTTATGTTGATTGTTATTACTCTTGAGTCTTAATTTTTTTAAAGTTGTATTCTGCCTGGATTGGCTCTGAAACTTGCATGTCCTGTGAAACTACTAAGTATTAGGAAAACAAGCTTGTGGTGGTTGTAGCAAAGAAATTGGAAAGAGTAGAGCCTTTATTTGCATTGACAATCAATTGTAGTGA